AAATGGACTAATACAGGGCCCATGGTATTCCCAGGGAATGGGGACATTCATAAGAAGTTTTATTTGGCAGAATCAGAAGTGTGTTCCCCCATGAGATGATTACACACACAGAGAGAAAGGAAGAGATGGTGAGAGTGGTGGAGGACTCTGAAAGCAACATGGATGAGCCTTGAAAACATTACACTAAGTGAAAGCAGATAAACATAAAGTCCACATATTGAATGATTCCAATGATATGAAATATTCAGAATAGGGAAGTCCATGGAGACAGAAAGAGATGAGTGGTTGCTTGGGGGTGAAGGGTAGAAACAAGAAGAATTAGGGGATTGGGAAGTGATAGGTAAAGGACACAGTGTTTCTTTTTGAAGTAATAAAAGTGTTCTAAAACAGACTGTAGTGATGGTTGTGCAACCCTGTGAATACACTAGTAAGATCCTGCATGATCTGTCCCCTGACAACTTCTCTGTCTTTTCTCCAGCATTCTCCAAACTCCAGCCACACAGGCTGCCTTCCAGGCCACAGAGTAAGCCTGGCTCTTTTCTGCCTCAGAACTCTTACAACTGATCTCTTGGCCTCGAAGACTCCTTCCTCACTTCCTTGCATATTACCTCTCCTCAGAGATGCCTTCACCACTTAATTTAAAATAGCTGCCCCTAATCTTGGGCCCTTGCTATCCCATCACCCTCTTGAATTTGGTTGAAAGTACTCAGCAATATCTGAAAATATTTTAGGTACTGTATGTCTCCTTCCAGAGAAAACAATTCATAAGGGCAGTGACCTCTTCCACATTGTTAGGTCTAGCACCTAGCAGCAAGCCGGCACTCAAAAAACATTGGTGAATAAATAAATAAAGGCCATTTATGATACGATCTCTGGCCTAGGTGGTTCAGGGATTTTTAAAACAAGCAGAGGAATGCACAACGTGCAGAGAAGAACATTCTCTGCAAGATAAGTATTTGGACCAAGGTGAGGTAGAGAGGCCTATCTCTTTGAAACCTCAGTTATGAGAAATATAAGCTAAGATAGAAAAAAGGGTGGCAGCATGATGTGGTCTTGTGGGCTGTCATTCAACCACATACATCACATACAGGTGGTTCTAGAGGTTCCCAGACACACTGGCTGATGGGTGCTGAGGAGGAAGATCAGATGGGCCAGCACAAGACTCAAAAAGGGATTTTATATATTAAAAAGTCCCTGTCGATTGGAGGTATGATATGCTGAGATTTAAAAAGTTCCCATCAAGAAGTTAACACATTTATTGAAAGTCTATTTATACTTATCAAATTTGTTTTGATTTTTGGTCCTGTTTGTTTTGGAGATATTAAATGATTTCATTAAAACCATCATTGCTAATACATTAAGTGTATTTATTTTCCTGAGGATCTTAGAGGCCACCTGCATGCAGAGGACAGCACAAATGCCCAGGAAAGACCTGATAATGCCCAAACTGCTCACCTCATACCGTACACAAAAATTAACTTCTAAGAGATTTATACTTCTAGGTCTATGATCAATTTGGAGTTAATTTTTGTGTATGATGTGAGGTAACGGTCCAACTTCATTCTTTTGCATGTGGATATCCTATGGTCCTAAGCAATATTTGTTGAAGACTATTCTTTTCATTTGAATAGGTCTTGGCACCTTTGTCAAAAATCAACTGACCATAGATCTAAGGGTTTACTTCTAGACTCGCAGTTCTATTCCATTGATCTCTAGACAGTAGTCTACTATCTTGATAATTTTGGTCTATAGTCAGTGCCACAATTGATAAGTGTAAGTTCTCCATCTTTTTCTTATTTTTCAAGATTGCTTTGGCTATTCTGAGTCTTTTGAATTTCCATATGAATTTTAGCGTCAGCTTATCCACTTCTGCAAAAAATCCATCTGGGATTTTGTCAGGAATTGTGTTGAGTCTGTCACTCAATTTAGGTCTGCTTGACTCTTACACCAGAGGTCCAGCCACAGTCAGTCCTTCCAATCAAGTCAGTCAAAGAACAACAGTAAGGCTAATGCTTACTGAGCACTCACCTTGTTCCAAGGACTGTGCTGAGTGCTTCACATGGCTCCTCCCATGTCATCCTTACAATGATCCTAGGAGGCAGGGCTTCTTATTATCTTCATGCAAGAGATAAGGAAACTGAGGTGCAGACAAGTCAGGTGACTTACCCAAGGTGACAGTTCACAAGTGGCAGAGGTAAGGTTTTGACCCAAGAAGTCTGACTCCAAAGCCCTTGACTTTCTCAACTCAATATATAATATGAAGAGATCTTAATAAACCCATTTTTAAAAGGCAAGCAATCCGGCAGAAAAATGGGGGAAGAATGTGAAAATTTACCAAAGAGGCAAATGCAAATAGCCAGTAAATATATGATGCTCCATATGACTACAATCAGGAGAATGCATAATAAGCAATGAGATATTATTTTGCCCATCATACTGGTAAAATATTTTTTATTGATAAAATTCAGTGTTGGCGTGGGTCTGAGAAAACAGGTACTATTATAACAACATCAGTAACACTGCATAATGGCAAATCCACTTTGGAGAGCAATTTGGCAGACTTTTTTATAATATAAAATACACATATCTTTAGTCCTAGCAGTCACACTGCACTTGGGCACAAAGAACATGGACAAGAATGTCCGCTGTAGCCCTATTTGTAATTGCATAAAAATGAAATAAACCACGTGTCTGCCAGTAAGGACATGGCAATATGGGTCATGGCCAAATCCACACTACTGGAATGCTGGTTCCACAAGGTTTGGTTTGTGTGTGATTTGTTCATGGCTGTAGCCCCAAAGCCTAAAACAGTGACTGATAACACAGCTGGCACTCAGACATTTACTGAATGCATACTATGGTATACCATGCAGTGGTAAAACGAATAAGGGGTGTGTGTGTGTGTGTGTGTGTGTGTGTGTGTGTATATATATGCACACAAATATGTATGTGTGCATATATTATATACCTATAAATATATATTTCCTTATTTGGAAAAAGGATCTCTGCAGATGTAATTAAGTGAAAGATCTCAAGATGAGATCATCCTGGATTATCTAGGTGGGCCTTCAGCCCACTAACAAGCATCTTTGTAAGAGAAAGAAGAGAGACACAGAAAGGGGAATACCGTGTGACAATAGAGGCAGAGATTGGAGTGACGCAACCACAAATCAAGGAACACCTAGAGCCACCAGAAGTGGGGAAAGTCAAGGAAAGATTCTTCCCTAGAGCCTTCAGAGAGAATGTGGCCCAACCAACACCTTGATGTAGAACTTCTAGCATCCAGAACTGTGAGAGAATAAAGTTCTGTTGTTTTAAGTCATCCAGTTTGTGGTACTTTCCTAAGGCAGCTGGAAAAAAACCAACATAGACATGTTCTCTAAGGACTTCAATACACATTAAATGAAAGAGCCTCACATCTGTAACATTAAAAAACAAAAAAAAACACCAATTTCTATCTATAGATGTACATAACAGCATTGAAAACTAATTGGGATCAACATGCCCCAAACTGACTACAGTAGTTCTCATGGAAGTAGAAGGGAGAAGGGTCAACGGAGACCGTGGCTTTACTTTATAAGTAGTTATCATTTTTTGAAAGAATGGTTTAAGGAGGCCGGGCGTTGTGGCTCACACCTGTAATCCCAGCACTTTGGGAGGCCGAGGCGGGCAGATTGCCTGAGCTCAGGAGTTTGAGACCAGCCTGGGCAACACAGTGAAATCCCCTCTACTAAAATACAAAAAATTAGCTGGGCATGGCGGTATGCGCCTGTAGTCCCAGTTACTCGGGAGGCTGAGGCAGGAGAATTGCTTGAACCCGGGAGGGGGAGGTTGCAGTGAGCCAAGATTGCACTACTGCACTCCAGCCTGGGTGACAGAGCGAGACTCTGTCTCCAAAACAAACAAACAAACAAACAAACAAATAAATAAAGTTAAAAAATGAAAGGAAAATTGATAACAAAGCTTAGCATTTGAGAAACTACACAGACTCCATTTTAAGAAAAGCCATGACTAGGTGTGGTGGCTAATGCTCATAATCTCAGCATTTTGGGAGGGCAAAGTGGGAGAATCACTTAAGGCCAGGAGTTCAAGACCAGCTTGGGCAACACAGTGAGATTCTGTCTCCACAAAAAAAATTTAAAAATTAGCCAGATGTGGTAGCACACACCTATAGTCCCAGCTACTTGGAAGGCTGGGATGGGAGGATCACTTGAGCCTAGGAGTTTATGGCTATAGTAAAGCTAAGATGGTGCCACTGCACTCCAGCTTGGGCGACAGAGCAAGACCCTGTCTCAAAAAAAAAAAAAAAAAAAAAAAAAAAAAGCCATTATAAAATCAATCTAAAAGGGGAAACAAATCTTTTATTCACTTCAAAGTAACTTTTTTTCTGAGTTAAGGAAGACAGCCCTTGGAGGCCATTGCTGGTATGTCACACTAGTAGGGGCTATGACTTGAGCTACAGAAAATGATATATCAGTTATCACACATTGTTAGGTATTTTTAACAAAGGATTTAAATATTTGAATTTTATTTTAAATAATATAACTATCCATTTCTTTTCTTTTTTTTTCCTTTTTTTTTTTTTTTTTTTTTTTTTTGACAGAGCTCTCGCTTCATCAACCAGGCTGGAGTGTAATGGTGCGATCTCAGCTCACTGCAACCTCCACCTCCCGGGTTCAAGCAATTCTCATGCCTCAGCCTCCCGAGTAGCTGGGATTACAGGCATGCACCAACACACCCGGCTAATTTTGTATTTTTAGTGGAGACGGGGTTTCACCAGGTTGGCCAGGCTGGTCTCGAACTCCCGACCTCAAGTGATCCTCCCGCCTTGGCCTCCCAAAGTGCTGGGATTACAGGCATGAGCCACTGTGCCCAGCCACTATCCATATTTCATCTGATGAAGTAAAATATATTGTTTTTCTTGCGCATATATTCTGAGTGGACGATACACATTAATCACTGTTGTTTGTTTTTAATAGTTTGTTTGATCTACTACTCACGTTTTATTGAGGAAGTTTCTTTCACTGCATCCTCCAGGTTAAAATCATCAAAGTCCCCAGATCCTAAAAGTTAAAAAAAATAAATTAAACTATCTTTGCATAAAATAAAGTAATAATGAAATACTCCCTAGAAATGGTCATTTCCCTTTAGAAAGTGAAGGAATAACAAAAGGTATTCCATGCAAATAAAAACCCAAAGTGAGTGGTGGTAGCTATACTTATATCAGACAAAATAGAGGTCAGTATTGTTAGCAAACTAATATAGGAACAGAAAACCAAGTACCACATGTTCTCACTTATAAGTGGGACTAAACGATGAGAACACATGAACACATAGAAGGGAACAACACATATTGGGGCCTATTGGAGGGCAGAGGGTAGGAGGAGGGAGAGGATGAGGAAAAATAACCAATGGGTACTAGGCTTATTACCCAGGTGAGGAAATAATCTGTACAACAAACCCCCATGATACAAGTTTACCTATATAACAAACCTGCACATGTATCCCTGAACTGAAAATAAAAGTAAAAAAATAATAATAGATTTTTGAAGTCAAAAACTGTAAAAGGAGACAAAGGAGGTCATTACATGCTGAAGGGGTCAATTCATTAAGAAAGTATAACAATTGTAAATATATACACACCCAACATTGAAGCACCTAAATATACAGAGCAAATATCAATAGACTTCAGTCTACCTAGTAGTAAACTTAACCAAGGAGGTAAAAGACCCATACCTCCTAACCTGTACCTTGAAAACTATAAAACAATGATGAAAAATTAAAAAGACAAATGAAAATATATTCCATGTTCGTGTATTAGAAGAATATTGTTAAAATGTCTATACTGACCAAAGTGATCTACAGATACGATGTAATTTTTAATCAAAATTCCAATGTCATTTTTCACAGAAATGGAAAAAACAATTCTAAAATTTGTATGGAACCAGAAATGACCCCCAATAGCCAAAGCAATCTTGAGCAAAATGCACAAAGCTGGAGGCATCACACTTCTCGATTTCAAAATATATTGTAAAACTATTGTAATCAAAACAGCATGGTACTGGCATAAAAACAGACACATCAACTAATGGAACAGGATAGAAAGCACCAAAATCAAATCAAATATTTACAGTTAATTGATCTCCAACAAGGACAGTCTCTTCAGTAAATGATGTAGGGAAACTGGATATCTACATGCGGAAGAATGAAACTGGACCCCTATCTCATACCATATACAAAAATTAACTCAAAATGAATAAAAGACTTAAACGCAAGACCTGAAACTGCAAAGCTACTAGAAAAAAACACAGGGAAAAAGTTCCACAACATTAGTCTGGGCAACCACTTCCTAGATAAGACTCCAAAAGCACAGGCAACAAAAGTGAAAGTAGACAAATGAGACTGAATGAAACTAAAAACTTTCTGCACAGCAAAGGAAACAACAGAGTAAAAAGACAACCCATGGATTAGGAGAAAATATTTGTAAACCATACATCTGAAAAGGGGTTAATATCCAAAATATATAAGGAATTCAACTCAATAGCAAGAAAACAAATAACCCAGTTAAAAATGGGCAAAGGAGCTTCTCAAAAGAAGAGATATGAATGGCCAACGGGTATATGAAAAAATGCTCAATATCTGTAATCATCAGGGAAACACAAATTAAAACCAAAATGTGGGCCGGGCGTGGTGGCTCATGCCTGTAATCCCAGCACTTTGGGAAGCCGAGGCAGGCAGATCACGAGGTCAAGAGATTGAGACCATCCTGGCCAACATGGTGAAACCCCGTCTCTACTAAAAATACAAAAATTAGCTGGGCGCAGTGACATGCGCCTGTAGTCCCAGCTACTCGGGAGGCTGAGGCAGGAGAATCTCTCGAACCAGAGACGCAGAGGTTGCAGTGAGCTGAGATCTCACCACTGCACTCCAGCCTGGTGACAGAGTGAGACACCGTCTCAAAAAACAAAACAAAACAAAAACAAAAACAAACAAAAATGTGATGTCATCTTACATCTGTTAGAATGGCTATTATCAAGAAGACAAATTGTATTTGTTGGTGAGGATATGGAGAAAAGGGAACACTTGCACATATTGTTAGGAATGTAAATTAGTATAGCCATTTCGGAGAATGGTATGGAGGTTCCTCAAAAAAACAAAAAATAAAATTATCATATAATTCAGAAATCAATCCCAGTTCTGTGCATGCATTAATATCCAAAGGAACGCCAGGCGTGGTGGCTCTCACCTGTAATCCCAGCACTTTGGGAGGCCGAGGCGGGCGGATCATGAGGTCAGGAGATCGAGACTATCCTGGCTAACACAGTGAAACCCCATCTCTACTAAAAATATAAAAAATTAGCCAGACGTGGTGGTGGGCGCCTGTAGTCCCAGCTACTCAGGAGGCTGAGGCAGGACAAAGGCGTGAACCCGGGAGGTGGAGCTTGCAGTGAGCCGAGATCGCACCACTGTGCTCCAGCCTGGGCAACTGAGAAAGACTCTGTCTCAAAAAAAAAAAAAAAAAAAAAAAACCAAAAGAATTGAAATCACTATTTTGAAGAGCTATCTGTACTCCCATGTTCATTTTGGTTTTATTTACACTAGTGAAGGTATGGAAGCAACCTAAGTGCCCATCAACAAATGAATGGATAAAGAAAATGTGGTACATATATAAACGGAGTACTATCCATCCTTTAAAAAGAAGGAAATTCTGTCATTCATGACAATGTGGATGGAACTGAAGGACATTATGCTAAGTGAAATAAGCCACGCACAGAAATACAAATATTGTATGATCTCACTTAGATGTGGAATTTAAAAAAGTTGATCTCACAGAAACAGTAGAAAGGTAGCTAACCAGAGGCTGAGGGGAGGGAGAGGTATGGGGAAAGGGAAAGTGTTGATTAAAGAATACGAAGCTTCAGTTAAACAAGAGAAATTAAGTTTTAGCAACCTACTGCACTGCATAGTGACCACAATTAATAATAATGTATTATATACTTTTTAATTGCTAATAGACTTTTACCATTCTCACTACAACAAAATAAGCTTGTGAGATAATGGATATGTTAGTTTGAATGAATCTTACTACAATATATACACAGACCAAAACATCACATTGTACCCTATAAATATATACAAAGATTATTTGTCAATTAAAAATAAATGTTAAAAATGATTTTTATTAGCTAGGCATGGTGGTGCACGCCTGTAGTCCCAATTACTTGGAAGGCTGAGGAAGGAGGATCACTGGAGGCTAGAAGTTTGAGGTTACAGTGGGTTATGACTGTGTATTGCTCTCTAGCATGGGCGACACAGTGAGGCCCTGTCTGTAAAAAGCAATGATAACAAAACAAAGATTTAAAAATTTATCTTTGTATGAAACAAAATAATACTGAAATTCTCTCCTGAAATGTTCATGGTCCTTTAGACAGTGCCATGAATGTAACTCCACAAAAGGGAAATCTGTCAAAGCCACCCAAAGATATACTGAGCTGATAGCCTTCCTCAATCTATCTATCCCCATCAAAAATAAAAATTAAAAAATAAAAACAAAACAAAACCCCAAGCTTCAGTCCACTAGAATGTTGAAGGCTCAGGTGTTTGGAACATGAAGTACTATCTCACAGAAAACCTTCTCCATAGAGAAGTAAGAGGGGTCATTGGAGCCCACAGCTCCACTGATGAGGGGCCAAGTTCTCCCACCCCACCCCAGGTCTCACAAAGGCTACTCTATATTTTGTCAATCCAGGGTACCTTCTCTCCGATCGCCAGCACCCCACCTAGACTAGAGGCTCTGACTAATCACACATAACTGAAAAAGCTCTGGGGAAAACGTTTTCACAACAGAATTTGTCCTCACAAGTGGACCCATCTGCCCAACCCAGTGTCCTACTGAACTTGATAGCTAATGTTCCCTCTAGATGCGCATGTAGTTTGTCATAAGGGTGTATAGCTTATTAGTTCTCAAGCAAACCATTATGCATGCATACTGGAATTGACCAAATAAGTAAATGGATAGGGGATGGTGGGAGCCAGGTTTCTCACTATGAGAGAGAGGTTACAGATAACAGAGGCAGGCTAAAATGACCCATATAAAAATGGGTTAGAGTAGGAGACTTTAAGCTAAGCACGAAATCGTATTTAGCTTAATTTTTTTTTTTTTCTGAGATGGAGTTTCACTCTTGTTGCCCAGGCTGGAGTGCAATAGCGCAATCTCAGCTCACCAGATTCAAGTGATTCTCCTGCCTCAGCCTCTCAAGTAGGTGGGATTACAGGCGCCCGCCACCACACCCAGCTAATTTTGTATTTTTGGTAGAGACGGGGTTTCTCCATGTTGGTCAGGCTGGTCTCGAACTCCTAACCTCAGGTGATCTGCCTGCCTCAGCCTCCCAAAGTGCTGGGATTACAGGTGTGAGCCACCGTCCCCGGCCTAGCTTAATACTGACGTATAGTCATGTGTTGCTTAGCAATGGGGATATGTTCTGAGATGTGTTTGTTAGACTTCTACCATTTTGTTGTGCAAACATCATAGGGTGTCCTTACACAAATCTAGATGGTGTAGCCTACTACAAACCTAGGCTGTATGGTAGAGCCTATTTCTCCTAGCCTAGAAACCTGTACAGCATGTGACTGTACTGAATACTGTAGGCAACTGTAACACCATGGTATTTGTGTATCTAAACACAGAAAAGGCACAGTAAAAATAAAGTATTATAATCTTATGAGACCAACATCGTATATGTGGTCTGTCAACCAAAATATCACCACGTGGCACATGACTATATACAGATAGCTATATACAGAAATATTTATAGACATGAGTATATATATGGGTTAGTATAAAGACATATATTCCCTTGCTCTGTCAACTGAGAAGGGCTGGAAGCAACATCACCCTGTAGCAATGAGCACATCTAGCACCCAGGTCTTCGTCTCTAATCCTACTCTCCAATAAAGGGAACCAGGGCTCCTTGACTGATTTGACTGTGACAGAAAACATATAAGATGAGCTTGAGTTTTGAAGCATCTTGAGGTGCCAGGAAGTAAGGAAGTTTTTTGTTTG